GTGAGGGAAAGAGATATGTATATAGAATTAAGGTTGAGTAACCACGGATGAGTTAAAGGGAGGTTAAGTTAGGATTAATATTAAAAAGAGAGACGTAACTGTTTTCTGCTCACACTCTTATTTTCCTTTTACGCTTTGAAGAACCAAAAAGGGAGGAGACATGAGAAGATCATCTCGGAGACCTATGTTCCTCACTGTTTGCTGATACAGGTAAGGGAGAGTAAGAATTATCGCTCTAAGGCATGAGGTAATTGATGGATAGTGAGGTTGGTCCCCAACCTCCATATGTTGTATGTATTGTATAAATTGTATAAAGGGGGAAATCCCAATTGTTTTCTATTTTGGCTTGTTGTTTTCCAGATGATTCTATTACTCCTAAATTAACATGAATTATGATTATATATTATTAATTTCATGCATTGAGCCCTTTTTGGTATGAATTGAGTTACTTGTGGAACCCTAAAAGTATATGCAAGAATGATTATTGTGTGAGTAATTGATGGGACACATGTAATGGTATGGAATTCATGTCTTAAAGATGCATTGTATGAGTAAATTAGAGTATTTTTACCGACTAAAATGATGAATAGATGTTTTGGATTTGTTGTTCGCATATTGTGATTTTGCAGGTTTTATGTTTCTGATATGGCGTCAATGGCCACTTGCATCTTGCCAGGAACTATGGTGCTCAAGAGCAAAGTTTACTCTCTATTTTGTCTCTACTAAGCATGGGACATGCCTCACCAAGCGTTATCGAGGTCGTGAGTCTCTGTGACACTCATGTCGAGTGTGGGTTGAGGCTCACCAAGTGTAGGGGCTCTTGGGGAGTCTCAAGAAATCTAGTGATTTGGCTAAGGAAGATCATTGCACCAAAAGACTATTCCGCTGCAACCTTTTGATCAACGTCAATGGATACAGGTATGTATTATTAACATTAACTCTGTAATCTGAGACAACGGTTCTTAATATTGATTAATGGATAATTTCTATTTGGCTGAAGAAATTTTATCCTAACAAGTGGTATCAAAGCCACCGTTGTTATTAATATATATATATATATATATATATATATATATACAAAATTATAATATTTGATAAACTAAATTCATGAAAATAAAATTACTAATATTGTGCTATTATTTCATTTAAAAGAGATTAAAAGGGAACTTAAACCAAAAGAAAATGAAGAAAGAAATAGAAATAATATTGAAGTGACAAAAAATTAAGCATAAGAGAATGCTCTATTTTACTGAGTAGTGGAAAGTAAAAGACCAAAACTTAAGCCCATTTGGCCAATAAAGACATGCAACCTGCACCTAAAAGAAGAGAGATATTTGCCCCTAATTGAAGCTTCATATTGTTCTGCAACCTCGGGTTCATAAAATCTGCTGCTAGCAGATCCACTAATGCCATGTAGATCAATATCCCAGCAGAAGCAGAATTGAAAACCCCTTCAACAGCCAAAGCAATTGGACTATTCTCCTTGTACACACTTGACACTCCCATTCCAATTATTATCCCAATTGGAGTTGTTAGGGAGAAAAATGTTGCCATAATTGCCATAGACTTTGACTCAAACTTTGCCTGTCATAATATAAATCTATTGAGTATTAATTAGAAGCTTGTAAAAACATGTAGATGGATTGTTTTCTTTTTTGAACCTAGTAGCCAACTTTAAAATTATAGGACCAACCAAAAACATGTCTTTAATTCACTGGTGATTGTTTGGTCTTTCTCTTTTTTCCTTCATGAAAAAAGTTAGATGAAAATATAAGGTTGTTGTCATCATGGCAATATTTTGGAGCCCATTTTGTGCTACTTTCTGAGCTACACAAAACAATCCACACACAATTCATTATTTTCTTCTGTTTGAAACTTACATTTCATAATAGTAAATGAATCCAACTTCATTTTTCAGTGTTTTCTAAACCCCCTATGCAAAATTTAGTCCATCTTTAATATTCTAAGAATAAAACTTAGGTACAGTACTATCATGTATTGATACTATTGATACTATTCTCCAAATAAAATTAAATTTTCACTTATGCAATTTGTTTTAGAAGTAACATAGAATGGGCTCTATTAGTACAAGTATAAAAGTTAGATTTTAATTTAGGATAAAAGCACAATTCTTTTTAAAAAATACTTGTATAGTGAATCTATGCATAACTTTAACTTTTTGTACTCAACATATATGTAAGATTCATGACACTATACAAACAAAATTGCAATACCTGAGAGATGCAACCACCAAGCCCCATCCCCTCAAAAAATTGATGAAAAGAAAGGGCCATTAGAAGTGGCTTTATGGTATCAATGCTCTCTGTAGTTCCCAATGATATTCCAATGATCACTGAATGGACCACTATTCCTATCTCCAACACCTAACACACAAACCAACAATCCAAACTCAACCACATTGATAACAAAGAAGAATTCAAAATCCAACATATAAAGAAAAGAAGTACTAATACTAGACATCAACAACTAATTGATTTAGCTCATATCATTGAGCATTGCTATGTGAGTGTTGTAAATCCCTTGATATCAAGTTCAATTGTAACCGATAAAAATTAAAAACAACTAATTGAACTTACTTGTGATATGATCCGTTGCCTAAGTACTTCAGGTGTTATTGAGCCTTCAGAGGAGAGAGTTGATGGTCCATGAGCATGGCCATGTGTGGCATGTGTATGAACATGTATGTGACCAGCATGATCATCCCCCATTTCCTCATCAACTGTAGGAACCTGCTTAGAGGGATTAAAGTGTTGCCTATGGTAAAATCCTGTGGCAAATGAGTCCACCATAAGGGTCCCTATGGAGGCCAACATGGCAACAAAGCCAGTGAAGGGAAACTTGCCCCAAGGGTTATCTTTCAAGCAAGGTGAAGTCAAGTTCTCAAATGCATCAGGGAGTATGTGGACAAAGCCAGTGGCAAGGATCACACCTGCGGCAAAGGCCTTAACCATGAAGAATATGTCATTCTTGGGGTTAAGTGTTGGGATTTTCTTGCTCAACAATGGAAGACTCACACCAAGAGCACCAACAAAAAGTATAGAAGCGATTGAGCCAAGTTTGTAGAGGAGAACTTTACTTGGATTACTCTTGTTACCCTCTTCTGTGTCACATGAACAAGAATATCCTAAGACCATGGTTGGTAAAATAATAAGGACACAACAACAAACATAGAACAATTTTGACATGGTGGTTGTTGAATTACTAGCTAGGAAGTTCATCAGTTTTGTGGAAATTGAGATTGTCACAACTCACCAATGAGTGAAGGAAGAGAAATTAAGAATGGTGCAGGAACTATGAAGAACTTTGAGAAGTGTTTTCATCATTATTATATAAAAGAGGACAGATTCTAGCATGGGGCAAGTTGGCATGTCCTCCACACTTCAAGACTAACATAGACCATTCAATATGCAGACTTAAAAATCAGTGGTTACAAATTGAAAAACACTAACCGTACGAAAGAAAAAATTTATATTCATATTTTTTAAAAAAGAATCTACATGCTATGTTTAAAGACTACTCCAACCACTGCCATGAAGGTCGCATTTCACAGTTAAGTTGTTCCCATTCGATACTGATTCCAACTCTTTTCCTTCCTGTCGAGGTTTGTCTTTCTTAAGTTATCATACTCATCGGATTCCACCGACCGTCGAGTTCGTCGTTAGAGCTGTGTCACGGCAATTCTTCCATCCATGTTCATGGACCAAAATTCTTTCCCACGATTGCCTTTACTTTTGTTCCAGTGAGATCAATATCTGTTATCTTTAACTTTCAATAGTATTATAAATAAATAAATACATAAAAAAAAACAGGGATCACGTTGCACAATAGTACCTTTTCTTTTCAACATTCAAAACAAAATATTATATCAATGTATTAAATTTATTTGTTTTAGAGTCGAGAGATATATTCACACAAAGAAAAACTTAGATATATCTCGTTATTTGTGAATATGTATATATTCGAAAATTGTTACTTAATTTTAATTAAATAAGATATTATTTTATATTTTATTAATAAATGTTTAATTAAATTTAATATAATATAATAAAATGATTATACAATTTCAATGCTTATAACAAATAAAATAATTAAATTAAAAATACAAAAAAAATGTGAAAATATTAAAATAAATTTATAAATTGTGATGGTAAAAAGGTTAGAAATATGATGTTAACTCTCGTTAGTTTTAATATATTATATAATAAATATGTATAAAAAATACTCAAATTAACATTTTATTCAATAATTTTTTTATCAATAAATATTTGTATATTCAAATTAACAACCATCATCATCGCTGCTTCCACCACTGTTACTGACAGTAGCAGTACTGACGATGTTAACGATAATGGTTGTGGTGGTGGTAGTTGCAATGGTAGATGGTAGTAATGTTGATAGTTCTGAAAGAGATAGTAGTAATAATCTTGTAAGAGAGTGTTTATGAAATTAAACTTGACCATTAATTATTTTATCAATAATTTAAAGACTGATTTATTTCTTTCATCTCTTGTAATAAGACATGCTCCCATCGGATACATTTCATATATATGGGTGTATAATGTGAGAATGACATTTTTATGTGAGAACGAGAAATATCTCAACTGTGAGATTGAAATAAAAGGTTGTGATTAAAATACTCACTAAAATATATCATGGTCTCTCACTTATCATATTAATCTTTCGAATTTGTCTTACTCATTTGCCATCCCACCATTGTTGTCACTACTTTAACACCCAATTTTTCATAAAATATCATATAAGTATTTAATAAATATTTTTGATATTTTTAATTTAATTAATAGAGTTGTGTTAATATTTATTCTAATTATTTAATGTGATTTGAAGACATAATATATAAGGTATTTTATTAAAGATTTTATTTTAATATTTTATTAAGACAGAAGAGATTTGTAACTATGGTTGATATGTTTTAATCGGAGGGTTAAAGAGAGGTTAATATTTTTAAAAGAGAGTTTTTTAATCAAACATTTTTTACACTTTTATTTTACGCACTCGCTTAAGAGCCAGGAGATCAGGAGAAAGAAGGAAATCTTCTCAGAGTCGTGCATCCAATTCTTTTGTTTACCAAGGTAAGGAAAAAGTGAAAAACCCCGCTCTGGGTGTAGGTTTGTATGTTAGATAGTGAGATTAGCCCCTAATCCTATATATGTTGTATGCCTATGTGTGAGGGGTTTTCCCCAAATGCATTTGTTTATTTTTTCTTCTTCTTCTTGTACATAAATAATGACATGAATTGTTTGAATATATGACCAATTGTATGTTTTGTTCTATAATTGTATAATTTGAGGTTCCTGTGGATTCTCATGGAGAACCCTAAGGGAACTTGTTGTGGTAATTATGTAAAATTATTTGTTATATGTGTAGGCTTGAGCGCAAGCTAATCAATGTTCGCCGATGAGGGTTTTGATAGTGTGACGATTGTCGACAACTTGGGTAGTGCGATGATCGGTGAGGGTTTGAGAAGAGTGATGTACGTGCTTCCTGGGTAGTGTGCGAGAGTCTTCTTTGGTAGTGCATGAGAGTGCTTGGTAGTGTGTACGTGCTTCCCGGGTAATGCGCCAGATTCTTCTTGGGTAGTGCGCGAGAGTACTTGGTAGTGTGATGAGGGTTTCGTGAAAAAGGACTTGAGCGCAAACTGATCAATGTGCTTCCTGGATTGTTCTTTATCGATGAGGGTTTCAATAGTGCGATGATTTTCAACGACTTGGTAGTAAGATGAATGGTGAGGGTTTGAGAAGAGTGTGCTTCCTGGTTGTGTGAAATCAATGATGTACTTGGGTATTGCATGCGTGAGAGTGGTAGTGTGCAAGAGGAGTACTTGAGAACTCAATTCTACATCAGTTTCTCAATAAACCTATTTAGAATATTTGATATTTACATCATTTTTTGTATAACTGATGTAACCATTCTTTCATTTTTCACTTAATTACAAAAATGTCACCGCATTTTTCTTTTACATCATTTTTTGAAGAACCAATGTAGATTAGGCGATGTTAAACACTGACTTTATAGTAGTGATTGTTTGTTATAAAACATGTTTACCGATTGGATTCTAAATTTTGTTGAATTGGTGTATGAGTCATAAATTTTTTTTTATATGCGTGGTTTTGATATGTCATCAAGCACCATTTGAGACATATTGGGCGTCATTGAGGTCGAGAACAAAGTTTTCTCTCGAAATCTCTCGTGCTGAGCGTGGGATGACCCTTGCTAGGCATAGAAGCTTTAGGGGCTCCGTGTGACACTTTCGTCGGGCATGAGTTGACTTTTGTTGGGCATGGTCATTGTAAGGACTCTCTATGGTGTTTTAGTCGAGCGTGAGCTCCATCAGGTTAGGTGTAGTTTAGACAGACCAATGTGGTTCTCTAAAGGAACTACGCTAGGCACAGGATGTGTGTTGTTGGGCAGTGTTCTATCTACAATTTTTTGTTGTTGTTCTTATGTCTAATTCCATGACGTGATTCCTATGTTGTAATATGGACGTGGATACAAAATGATATCTCTTTATGAATATATGAACATGAATGATGAGCAATGTGATATGAGAAACTTGTGAGGTGTGAATCTATGGAGTCATGTGAATTAATACATTGAGTCTATTTGGCATACATCTTTTGCATAAAAGGTTATTTTGGGGTACGATATAGAATATACCACCAAGGAAGGTCCCTTGAAGACAGCTCGTGTAACACCTTACATTTCGCAATTAGATTAATAATATATGTTATTATAAAATTTAAAGGGTTGAAGTTATAGAGCATTTTAAGGTTAATATTATATTATATATTTTTTTTATTAAATTATAGGAGGATTATATTATAATAAAATATTTATTATTATTATTATTATTAAGTGA